GATTATAACACAGCAAGATCAACAGATTCTGACTTCGTCAAAATAATTTCCATCCCCCAATCCCACCCCATCCCTCCACCCCATCCTTATAAATGTATGCATGTACATGTATATATCATTATATTTATATATATTATATAAACATCGTGGCGTGGTATACACTGACATACTAATATAATATACAAAGTGGTGTGATAAAACACTCGATATACAATTGATAAAAAAGTAATGTCGGTACAAATGCGTCCGATATTTCTATATTAAAAAAAAATCTTTTTGGAAGTTACCGGAAGTTGATCCGCTTCCAGGTCAAAGTGTTGAGCGGACGGAGAGTGTAAACATGTCGTTGTCATGGTAAAAAGCTCGGAATAGAACAAAAAACAAGGTTCAGGTATGCACGTGCCAGTCTTTCAATGTTGAGAGGCACAGGTGAGTCGGTGTGTCAGTTATCGCTGGTTCACTTTCGTCTGTCCGCGTAAAAAAAAAATTAAAAAATTGTAACTCATTTATTACTTAATTTACCTATGCCCACGAAACTTTGCATGATACCTCTGCAAGCCAGCAACGAAACAAAATTATTTTAAAAAAATATCTCGATACAGTAATAAAAAAGTTTTTCTCCTTGGGCCCTTTATCATAATTAAAAAACCCAACTCTTTCCTTGAATACACAGGGTCAGTAAAATAAATGACTTACAGTAACATAGTCGACAATAAATTGCTCATTTTGAGACAGTGACACCACCCTGCCCCTATATTTCTGTGTAAACTTGTTGATGTCCTCCCTTGGCGGTCCAGACTTCTCCATTCCACGTGAGTCTAAAAAAATTACTCACCCCGTCTCTTGAATTGTGTTTCTTAGACATGCGTTAAAGTGAGGTGTTACGGAAAAAATATGTCAACTTTTTAATGTTTTACACGCATGCTACTAGAAATCTATAATTCCCGTATTATTTTTTGGACCCAATTAAGGCTTACCTCAAAGAAAACTTGTCGGAACGTTAGTTTGCAGTGACCTTTATGAACAGACTTTTAGATTCTGTGGGTCATCGATCTTTTACACCCGTATGTAAAGATCAGAGAATATTGAACAGAGTGTGATTTCATTTTTAACTTGTTTTAACCGCGGCCAGACGCAAGTGAACAAGCTATACTGAAAGTGTCATTATGTCACTTAGTGAGTGTGTCACTGTGTCAGTCAGTGATTAAGTCACTGTGTCATCTCAAGGAAAAGTTATCGTTAACACCAGACGGTCATTTCATGGCAAAAATATCGTTAAACTTGATGATCACATCGTGGCAGAAATATCGTTCGCCGTGTCAAACTCTGTGTCATTTAAAGTCAGAGATTTAGGGTTAGACATGATAACATCTCACTGTCATTTCAACACAAAGTTTACATTATTAAACACCCCAGCATCATCTCATGTATAAGTTAACGGTGAAAATGTTAACATGTCTTTGTCATCTCATGCAAATGTAAATGGTAAAAAAAATATTAACATTTATAACATCTCTCAGTCACTTCAAGTCAAAAGCTACCATCAAAACATTAGCATCCTCGCGGCTAATATATATTGTGTATGATGTGTAGCGTATTGTGTGTAGTGTGTAGAGTGTTGTTGTCAGAAGTGTGTAGTGTGTGGTCTTCAGTGGTGTATGGTGTGTAGTGTGTTGCGTATGTGTATAGTGTGTTGTGGTCAGAAATGTGTAGTGTGTTATGGTCAGTGGTGTATGGTGTGTAGCTGCCGCAGCATGGACATATCCACGGGCAGGTCCCGGTACAGAAATAGGTCAGCGGGATGGAGGTGGACCAGGGCTAAGTGACCAGTGTCCAGTCGCTGCGAGTGGGCTGGGCCTAGGGGGGAGGGTGGCCCCAGCGGCCCCAGCTCGGCCAATGGCAGGAGGGTGGAGAGCCAGGGGCGGTGAGTCGGGAGGTCGAACCCCGCAGCCTGGTAGTCCAATAGGTTGAGTCTTCCCAGTACAGAGGATGTTGTGTTTTGTTGTTGTTGTTGTTGTTGTTGCTGCTGTTGTTGCTGCTGCTGCTGCTGTTGCAATATGGCTGCTCGTAGGGCTGGGTTATCAGAGAAGACTTTCTCTTTGACGTCACTACTCCACCGTGGTGATGTCATGGGCAAGAGAGCCTGGCCTGCGTGTTGTGTGTCCGTGCGGCGGTGTGTTTCGTGAGAGTGTACGCGGGTCTGGAGCAGTCTCTCTCCATTCCCGGGCCCCAGCAGTGTTCCCGACATGGAGGCGGGGCCTAGCAGATCGCCACTGGACAACGCCGCAGGGATTGGACGGATTCTCTGGAAGGCGGAGCTTGTCGGTAAGGGGGAGGGGCTAGAAGTAAGCAAAGAAGGTGGGGCGTATGCGGCGATGTCCGAGGTGGGCGAGGGGAGGGAGGGCCGGGGGGAGGAGCTTGTGAAGTGAGCTGCTCGGTAAGGGGAGGGGAGGAGAAGGGGCGGGTCCTGGCAGCTGTAGGCGGGGCTTACATTGCGTGGGTAGATAGGGTGGGCGGGGCTTCGCTGACTGGAGGTGAGAGGTGGAGGCGGATGGGTGGGCATGGTTTGACGGACAGATGGGGAGAAAGATTGTAGCTCGGGTGTTGGAGGAGGGACGGATGGCGGAGAATGCGTGGGGGAAGAAGAAGATGGAGGGAGGGGAGGAGGAGAAGTGTAGTCTGGCCGTGACAGGGGAGGGGAGGTGGGGGAGGTGGGGGAGGTGTGGAGGCACGTTTTGTGAGAGCCGTCCGGATGGATTCTGGGAGAGGCCTGAGGAGAGATCTCGGGAGAGGCCGTCGGAGAGGCTTGAGGATACGCTGTAAGATCCTGTGGAGGAACATTAGAACCACTGCCCTCCTGTGTGGGTGGTCGGGAGTTCGGATCTCCGTCCATCTCCCTCTGCAGTCTCCGGATGTTGCGCTTCTTCCAGTGGCCCGAGTAAGAGCCGTTCCTATGGTTACCAGAGGGCGTCACGGGGTCTGACGTTATGGGTGGCGTGCGGGTGGCGGGCTGTGAGGTCATGGAAGAGGGGTAGGAGGCAGAGACGTCTTCCTTCCTGGTCAATGAGTATCCCGGGCAAGTGGTGGTGGAGGTTTCAGCGTGCTCGCTGTGGTGTGTCTCAGCTTTCGGTTCAGATCTACGGGTCGCCGGGTTTGTGTGTGTCTCCGCCGCGTTGATGTCGTTGATGTCGTTGATGTCACGGGGAGCGGACTCCTCTTCTTTGGTGACGTCAAGACATACGTCATCGGTGGCGTGGTCCGGGCGGTGATCTCGTGACTGGACACGGGGTGGCGGTGGCGGCTCTGCGGAGTCGTTGGTGACGTGAGCAGAAGTGTCACAGGAGAGGTCATGTGGGGACTTCCGAAGGAGGAAGCTGGCCTGCTCTCTGACCTCACCCTGAGGGGTGTGGCCGACGATACTACTCCTGCTGCTGCTGCTGCTGCTACTGCTGCTACTACTGCTACTACTGCTACTGCTGCTGCAGCTAACAGCTAGTCCCGCCTTGACCTCTGACCCCACCGTCGTGTCAAGGTCAAGGTCAAGGAGTCCCCCCGAGGTGGCCGCGTGGATGACGATGCGGGGGACCCGGAAGTCGGGCGGGGGCGGGGCTACTATTGCTGTTGGTGGTGGTGGGCTATTGATTGCCGCCACACCCATCATCACCTCGTCGTCCACACGCGCTCCGTGAGTCGCTGCCGTGTTGAGTGGGTCGCTTTGTGTGCGGCCCCGAGCCCCGGAAGTAAGGTGTGTGAGGCAGAGACATGCGCCGTGGTGTGCCGCAAGATGGGTGGGACCTACGCCGCCTCCTCTCCCCCTCACCACACAGCCAGTAGCGTCACAGCCGAACTTCCGGACGGCGCGGTCTCGGTGCAGCGAGGCGGTGTTGGTGTTGTTGGTGATGTCACATGCAGGGTGTGGGCGTGGCTCGGGCAGGTAGAGGTAGCGCCCCCTGGTGGGGCTGACGGCGTCCAGGCTGTGACGTCGTGGTGATGATGATGGTGACGTGTCTAGCCTGACCTTTGACCCATCCTCTCTCCCGCTGAGGCTGCGGCGGAGTTGTGGCCCCTGAGTGGACAGGTTGTGTCCGTGTGTGCGCACGTGCTTCCTCAGGGAGCTGTAGAGGGAGGGGGCGAGGGACAGGTGGGGAGAAGATTAAATGTTATCATCCGGGCGACCGTGTGTAGATATTTCGGCGCTGCTTAGTAGCAACGATGCTCTTACAGATCTCCGTATTTTGGATACATTTTTACACTTAACAAACTTGACTGGCATCCCCACGTTGCTCTTGTGCGTAAAAAAGTAAGTCAAAGAAGGAAATAAAGAAGTTTCTGTGTTGATTATAAGATATGTCTCTTTTATGCCATTCTATGATTGAAAGCGTGCAATTACATATTTTGTATTTGCTGCAGGGAATTGTAGAAAAAAAGGTAAAGAAAAATTTGACAGAACCATTAAAAAAAAGCAAGCAAGATCCCTGGATATTATTTTACTGGAATTGATGAAATGTATAACACCACTAGTGTACAAAAGATAAAAATCATTATAAACGACCCATCACACCCTCCTTTCCACGGTAAGATCACGCAGCGGCAGATATGTACCTCTAAAAACAAAGAAAGAAAGATATAAAAAAGAAGTTTAAAAAAAATCATCTAGCATAAGGCTATTGTCAGAATAAGCATGCATATCTCTTTTTAGTATGTATCTCTATATATAAAACTTGTGTGTGTGTGTGTGTGTGTGTGTGTGTGTGTGTGTGTGTGTGTATGTGTGTGTGTGTATGTGTGTGTGTGTGTATATGTATGTGCATGCATGTGTGTGCGTGCGTGCGTGCCTGCATGTACTCACCTAGGGTCGGTGTACTGCTTCCTACATCCGGGCATCTTACACTTGTATGGCTTGTCCTCCTGGTGAGTACGCACGTGCTTGAAGCGGTCACTGGAGTTGGAGTAGGCTTTGAGGCAGCCCGGGAACGTGCACACATACGGCTTCTCGCCTGGAACGGG